CTTCTGAAATTCACTGACGTTACAGCGAGCGATTGTATCTCACTCAATTACATGCAGATAAACAGGGACACTACGACGATACTCTTAGTGTTATTGGCCGAGTGTAAGCAGGTCTTGCGGGCTGACTCGCGACGTCATCTACGCTCCGTTTAAACGCGCTCTGACTGGTCGCATTACTGCAACTTCAACTTTGATTATCTCGAAATTTTGATATATGAAATAAAAAATGAAAATATAAGTATTCATTAGAATTTGACAAGGAATGCAATGATGTTACTACAGTGCGTTTCATAACGAACACCCTGTATATAGCTTCGTATATCCTACCCCTATCAACTTAACGTCACCACGATCCGATCAACTCCTTGCCTTTGAAAATCAAAACGCTTGCGGCTGGGAGTGGTCTTAGTTCGCCTATTTTCCACGTCGTAGCCAGCGTACCAAGAATTTCGCCAATTTAGAGGTCCCTTTTGCACAAGTTTTCCTAATCTAGCCGCTTTTCTTACTACTCGACTCATTTTTCTATGTATCCGGACGGATATGTTCATTGATCATTCGCTCTGTTTTTTTTTTCTTTCACCAGACATAGGTACACGTTAGACTAAACGTCCATTCTCAATTTCGACTCAATTGTCAGATGAATTTTACCTTATTTGAACGAAGGGTAACCTTCCCCCCACAGCGAGCGCAACACCGGATGTTGCAATAGTTACAGATGTGACCCACGCCATCGGCAAACTTTGTTTTCAGACAAATATGGCAAGTGGCATCCAACTCAACGCCAGCCTTCTTATGCTTCTCCGACCGAGCTCGTATCGTCTCCTCTAAAACTTGTACCTCGTCCTGCTTTCGCCTGTAATCATAAATGTTTGTGATAAGCGGTCGTAAGAATTACATCATCTTTACGTGTTACAACTGTTCACTATAAAATATGACATATTATAAATATATATTATGAAAAATATAAACATATCCATTTTAATTGTATAAAATGTCATTATGGGTATTATCTTTTAAATTCGTAAAAATTTTGCAACTTAGAAACAAAAGTGCAGTCATTTTTTTTTTTCGTAAACTGATTGTGAAGTACTAAATGTTATTCGCACAGAACCGTATATATTGTTCACACAAACATGTTTTCACAAACGTGACTGGAGGGAGTTTAACAAACGTTTCTTATTTTTAGAATGTATAATATTGGAAATAATCACAAATTGTGACTAATTCTTTCTTATGTGATGTTTCAGTAACTCTAATCTTATTACTGGAAATTTGAATTTACCTTTTCGGGATTTTTCTCAAATATGGTATAGTATATCGAAATATACGGACAATCGATACAATTTCAGAATTACAGATGTGGAGAAAATTAATCATCAATTTTTTGTAGTAAATTATCTAAAATGTGGTTTCGATATTTTCCTGCTCTATAATAATTACAACGTGCAATTTAGATCGTTAATGTTTAAATTATAAAATTTGGTCAACGGAATGTTGAATTGTTTATTCGACTACAATGTAAAAAATTATTCTCTTTCTCAATCACAGGTATATCACTTTTTTAAGATCCCGTCTAGACGATGTTTCTTTTCCATGTACCTTCTTTACTAGTTCCTTGTTTCAGCATTTTGTTGGTACATAAAATTCAACTGATTGTGTCCAAACTGGGAAGAAATAACTTTTTTATAATAGATATGGTTAATAAGTAATTTAAGGATCTTAGGGTCGCCGATTCCTCATTTACGGTAAAAATCATGAAACTGAAAATAGTGAGTCTAAATTTTTTAAACTGGGACTAATAGTTTGATACGGCCCTATTTCCAGACTAACATTTTTTAAAATAATATTAAAGATACAATAAATTATATTCACAAATTATAATAAAAAGTAAAATGTTGACATCACTTTTGCAACAATTAATAAAAAAATTGGAGAAAAAGTCCGACCCCAAAAGTTTAAATATCGAACTTGTAGGCGTAGAGATATTTCCCAATCTAATTTCTCCTCAAGTTATGGATTAATGGTTGCGAAAGTGATATACAAATAATTGTTTATCATGCAGAAATGCGTCATGAACTCTATTTAGGGAAGAAACATCTCTACCAATATCCTACGATTAAAAATTCTTAAGACTGAAAACTACATTACCATATGTGCCCACCAGTCCCCAAATTAATGAAAGCTTAACTGGTACATACATTCCCAGACAACATTTTAGATGTCTAATAGGACAGAAGTTATCGTTAAGACATCTTAAAGATGACTTTTGGACATGTATGTTGTCTGGGTTGACGTTACATAGATGAGACGCACGTTGCAACTAACACTTGCGTTACACGTAACATTGTGTTTGCTGGGTCACTTCTGAATCGAAAATTAAACTAACGTGTCTCCTCCACATATTAAATTACATTATCTAGATAATGTTCAAGAAGAGCAATAAACCACAAAGTACTATACTACGTGCCAATAAAAAATTAACAACATTAGCAATGAATTTTCTAATCCCAAACAGTGTTATCATTAACACCGAAACTTTTAATCACTTGCACCAAAATGTTTTACACCGCCAATTTTTTTCATTATACAGATACTTCTAAAGCTCGATTTGCTGAATATATACAGTATACAATACTGTTCTGTTATAGAGATATATAATACTGTTCTACATATATATAATATTGTTCTGTTCATATATCGATTATGAGTTTTTCTGCAGAGTTCAATACATTTAGTTCTGCAGCTCGAACGTAACTTCGAATAGACAAATTCTCACGGACGCACGCACGTATCCCTTTTCTACAGGGACAAGTGTATAAGACATTTACACATGTTGTACACGGTGGTGCCCTAAATGGAAAAAAAAGAGAAGCGAAGACTGTTTAGGTTAGAATAGAAAAAGGTAAGGACAAAAGGGGAGGCACGATATAGGAAGGACAGAAAAGGATGGGATGGAAGGGACTAACAGTTACATAATAGAAATGTGACGGGCGGTCGACTACAATAGAAACCCGACCCGATACCCGAAGGTGTGCGACATTGGGAAAATTGGACCTTACTCCGCAATTTTCTTGATCACGATCCAACGACGACTCGCTGAAACGTCAGTCTTCCCTATTTTTGGCCTCTTGGGATTTTTTGTAAATTATTCCGCGCTGCAGCCACTTCAATTCACTTACGTCACATGTACTTATTAAAGTCATGCTTCTTAGAATGAGTGTCTCGTCCAACTTTCTCGTTCAGTCAAATGTACTGGTGCAGTTTTCTTTCTTATCCACAGAGACTTATAGAACACATGTAAATAGTAGAACAGATAACAAGGATCGTTATTAACGTTTGTTCGAAGGTATTGTTACGAAAGCATCGCTCAACTTAAAAATATTTAGTAGGACTGTGAGTATGAAAAAGTGGAATATAGACAAAAGTAGTCAGCAAGTATTGCGAGCCTAAATCGATGAAGGTGACGGTGAAGAAGTAGACGATGACAAAAGTGACGTAAGTAGTTGTGACGTAAATTAAAGGGTTCGTTGAACCTTGAAGAACGAGAGAGAGAGAGAGAGAGAAAGAGAGAAAGCTATGATGCCAACAGACCTTAATTTAAGGACGATGATAAAAACCAATTCAAATATACTCTTTGTCATTGCCCGGCAGGAACTGTCATATAACATGTATCCTGTTACGAGTTTCAAAGATTTATTTATTAATGTCAAATACCAACATATTTTAAAAAACGTATTTTAATTCCACGTACAATCGTGCTCCAATATCCTCATTTTCTAATTTCTCCGTCTTTTCTAGTGGAATGAAGTATTTCTTTCAAATACTTCAAAAGTATCTAAAAAAAATGTATATAGGTCAATTCAACAATGTGCAGTATAGAAGAATATACTGCTGTAAAGCTTAAGAAAAGAAAAAAAAGAAATTATAGGGTCACCATCTCGAAATATGTTCCATTTTAGTCGGTCTAAGTTAGGAGATGAAAGTAGGCTTGTCAATGCCGTAGTTTGTTGTTATAAACAGTCTGGTAGATATGCGTCTACTATCAGAATCCAGAGCTTCAAATGTAGAGTGCATACGATATGAGTGTATAATGTTAACCAAAAGTTATTAAAAGTGGTAGAGTTGCGAGAGTATTGAAAATGTAATTGTTTCACAGTCAAGTAAAACCTCCTATAAGTTTCTTGACATCTGTTGTATTAAATAATAGTATATTACGATACAAGTGCGGTAAAACTTTTTCTGACGAGTGCGATTTTACAGCACTCGCCTTCGGCTCATGCAATCACACGAGTTAAGAAAAAGTTTTTTCAAGGAGTATTGTACACAATTTTACTTCATAAGGTGCGAAATAACATTTATTTTGTTTCAGATCGAACCTCGTTACCTACACCCTATTCTTTTGAATATTAGCTACTAGTTGCTCTTGAAGGGACAATCAATTGCCTCGTGAACGTCAAAATTTAAGAAAAACTTGTAGGCAAAGACACTCCACAATTTGAACCTTATAAATTGTTGATGTCCACACAAATTAAATCGACTCATATATCATTAAAATTATTTTAGTATTGCTTTACGAAACAAAAGTTTTCTAATAGACTGCAAAAATATTTATAATTTAACGGCTGCCGTTAAAAACTGAAAACCTTCTCCGCGTTGAAAAAATGTGTTGGAACTCGAGTAGAAATTGAATCTCCGAATTACATAGTCATTCTCTATCTACTCTATCTATCTGATTTTTAAGTTTTATCTCCTTCACATTAGTTATCTTCGCGTCGGGGGATAATTACGAAATTTCGAAAAATCGCTCGCTGGAGACGAGTTCCGAACCCGGAACCTTCGCAAGATCGGACTCTGACCACAGTCCATTATGTTACTCCATCGTTTGCAAAGTTTTAATTCTTCACGTACGAAAATAATGTACTGACGTTGTTGGAAATTCAGTTTCAATAAAATTTAATTCACTATTTAATTCACATTTATGAAATTTTCTTTGCACAATTTTAATACGTAACCTTTAGGACTGTTGTGCATAAACTTATTTTATATCTGTCTAGCTAATACGCAGAAAAAAATATTATTGTTGCAATAACATGTAAACTCTAGTAAATAGGTTGATGCAGTTCCGACAAGAAACCATGTATCACAAATTTCAAATTATAGATAATTTTGACCAGGCGATTGTACAAGAAATTATAAAATTGTAATAGATGTATTCTGTTATATTAGACATATTCAATAGTTACAGTTGATTGTAAAAACTATAGACGGCAATGTACTTGTTACGATTTTAAATAAAGCAATAAGAATTACAACGCTGCAAAGATATATTCTACGTGGGCAAATGCAATTGACAGTACAGTCGATCGATGAATTATACATACTAATATATATAAAATCGACACTATTGAATGGCTTTAAAGAAAATAAATAAAAAACTTAACTGGCCTATTGCGATCCACGTAAGTCACGTTTGTAATAATACTTAATACCGAAATTAACGAATAAATTTTACTATATTGTAGGAATAATCAACCCAACACAGAACTCTTGTCACTATATTTAATAGAAGTTATAGTAAAAGTCTAAGTAATGGTTGTTACAGTGACAAATTATTTTTTTTTCCGCGTAGATAATAATTTTATTGAAAATGCGCGTTATGTAAGGGAGGGTAGCTGGGTACTTCCAAATACATGACGTAACCTCACTTTTGATTTGTCCCATAATTGGCTAGCCAATGAGTATGTCATAATCACAAAATGAACTCAATACGTTTGAGCGCCATCGGTATGGCGGTATAACAGGATGCTCCCTAGACAAGAGCTAGATGAATTATTTGGAAAGTAACATAACCTC